ACTCGTCACTGTCTATGGAAGAACATATTAAGGCATCCTGTAAATCTGCTGTCTTCCATTTAAGAATCATAGCTCGAATACGAAAGCACTTGCTAGCGCAAGCAGCAGAGACCTTGATCCATTCCCTTGTGACCTCAAAAGTGGATTTCTGCAATTCACTTCTTTGTGCTGTTCCTAATCAACCGATACAAAAACTCCAAAGAGTTCAGTACTCAGCGGCCAGGCTATTAACTTATACCAACAAGCGGGAACACATTAAACCTGTGATAAAACAGTTTCACTGGCTACCTGTTGAGTTCAGTGTCCCATATAAAATCCTACTCAGGACTTTTGTAATGTTTAAATGACACTGCTCTTGCTTATCTTAAAGATTTAATTCACCTGTATACGCCAAACCGCAGTCTGAGATGAACTCAAAAAACTACTTAGCTCACGAGCAATACCACCTGAAAAGTTATGGTCCGGTTAGAGCCTTCACAATTGCAGCACACATTCTCTGGAATGCACTCTCAGATAGGCTCAGAGACCATTCAAATTTTCTATATCTTCTTATAAGAAATAACTTAAAACACATTTTTTTAAAATAGCTTTTTAACATGTGAATTTTCTACTGCTGATTTAATTATTCATTTTTTTTAAAAAATAAGTCCTTATTTTATTGTGAAGTGCTAATTAACTTTACGGAATTAGCGCTATATAAGTGTTACTTGGATACAGATAAAAACTCAATCAACCAAATAACTGTTGAATTTTATCTTTAGGTCTGCGTGACAGCAGCCGGAAGAAACGACCGCTCTATCCAAGAGTTTGCCACCGTGGACTGGATGGCTTACCAAGGAGCACCTGATGGTGGTGTGGCAGGAAAATCACGCATTTCACAGTGGTGGACTGGATCACAGTGTAAAGAAGTTAACCTTCCTCATGTAATTGTCTATTTTGTGTCTATTTTTCAGTGCAGTTGGAGATTTTTTTTTTTTTGGGGGGGGGGGGGGCACGAAAACGGCTCGAGGAGAGATCCCCCCCCCCTGTGGTTAATACCAAGAACGCCCAACCATGTTTCGACAGTTTCTTTTGTCGCGTTTGGCAATCAAGTCCTTTTTTCAGTTTCTCTACTGTTGTGTTGGGTGCTGCTGGAAATACACAGTTTTTTAGAGTGGGGGTTGCATAATCTATTTAAATATATTCTTCCTTTTTATATTTTTTTATTTTTTGTTTATTTTTTATGGTATGGGGGGGATTTTTTTTTTTGGGGGGGGGGGGGGGACCTAAACGTGGCGAGAGGATATGCCACCCTCTCATTAGTAATATCCATGATTACGAATCTTACAGTGTCAAAGTTTCGATGCTGCAGTAGGAAATTGCATCATTTTTTCAATTGCCGCCATACTGGATTGTTATTGTATTTGGAAGGTGACCAACTGTGACGCAATCACGTTATTCAGATATTTTGCATTTTAAAAACCACAAATTTTGTTTTGCATAAGCATGACTAATTCAACAAAAATCCGAGATATCTAAACAATGTGAACCACGGTCAGGTTGGACTCCATTGCACAAAGTATGTTTTACGATTGAGGAACGTGGAGGTAGGGGGAGGGAGTCAGTTGATATTATGGAGGATGGAGGAAGGAAAAAATGTAAGATTTTTAGATGCTTAAAAAAGTAGAAGTTTGAAGTGAATAATTGATAGTAAAAGACCGATCCATCAGGCCCTGCTTCCCAGGAAGCTTATTCGCAGGCTAAACCCCTCAAAATTGTGAAAACAATCATTCATTCATGCACTAAGTTTTGTATACATGGCAAATGTTTGTCTTCTGCCATGTCGGTTATAAAGCATAAACGAACAGAAACTGAAACTATGAAACAAAACAGACAAAACCGGCCTTATACATATGAAGGTTAAACTCCTGGCGGCCAGAAACTTAACCACCATTTAAAAAGGCAATGCATAAATCGAAAAAAGTCATTCACTACGGACATGCAGAGCTTTTTGTTTTGGATATGTTGTTAAGAAATTAACAACATTAATTAGTCTGGAGATAGGGCTCACCTTTTTTGATTTGCAGTAACGATTGCTTTACAGGGAAAGTTTGCTACTGCGCCAACAGTTCTGGTTACGGCAGAACATATCAGTGCAGCCTTCAAGCACGATGCCGCCAGTTTGTGGGTGGAGAACGCAACCAGTTCCTCGTTTTACATTTGTCTTCGAGAACTACAGAATTATGATGGTCTACATGAGGATATCTTTGTGGTAGTTTGATTGTTATCATTTTTCTGATGGATGCACATTAAGAACCATATAGATAAAAAGCACACGTCAAGAAGTTTTAACGAAACGTTTGTAAAAGAGAAAATAATATGTATAAAAAAGAATCTTCACATTGTAGCAAATAGTGATGATGAACGTATCTCAAAAGTGGTCGAAAAACAGTGAGTATGAATATCATAACATTTCAAGTTTCCAATTCTAGTTTTATAAAGCGACGGATAAACGATTCTTAATAGTCCAACGGAAGCACAGACTGCCATTAAAGAGTACTGAGTATTTGGAGTCGGATCATGTTAGTCATACCTTGCGTGGTATTTTTAATCTGTCAGTAACCAGCTAGCAGTCAATTTTGATTAATTAATCAATCACATAATTCTTCTAAATGGCTGTTTTTCGAGAATAGACCATTTTATAGTTGTGAACTCAGTATCCTAGCCTTTGAGTGAACGGGAGGCTCAGTTTGACCTTGTTTTGATACAAACCTCCTTTCATGGAAATTATGCTTGAAAAGACTAGTTAGCATAAGAACGACATGATTTACATAACAAAACAGAAGGGGCTGAATGAAAATTAGGGTTGTTTACCATTTGGGCAACCCAGTCGATTTACGGTTTGGGTAAATGGTAAGCAAAACTCAGGACTGGTAAATTTCGTTCCGGAATGGCGTTTACCATTTGTACAAATCAGTTCCATTTTCCGAAAAACGGCCGCAAAGGCCTGAAACTGGTATCAACGATAGCTTTGAAGAAATGGGATACGAATTTCCTTTTCGAGCATTCCAACTGGACAAACAAGACTACCTTCCCAGATGTTCCGTTATTGCTCCTGGAAATTTTCCGTTGGAACGACCCATGGAGTCGTGATCCATTTACTTTCCAACTGAATTTTTCTGGAAACTTTTAAGTAAATGGTAAACAACTCCTCGTTTCCACGTGTAACTGTAAAATTGACTATTAACGAGACGGCATCTAACGCAATGACTGGTTTTAAAATTAAGAACGGTAGGTACTAGGTATATGTTATCATCAGATGATTCCTTTAAAATCGAATCACTCTCGACTGCTGAACATTACTTTTTCAGAACTGGATGGTCTTTGAAACAGTCCACCGGCCCCTTTTTGCTGAGAGCAAACAAGTGCAATTTCCAAACAACAACCCTGTTTCTGCGAACAACAATGGCGCATTTTGTAAGGTAAGACACAGGTGTAAACGAAAGCTACAATCTTGGACTAAATTAATGGGAAACCTAGACCCCCCTCCCCCTATATCAAAGATGGAAAAATGACAAGTTTTTGCCCCTCGCGCGGCTTCATCCTTGATTGAGGTGTGGGGGTGGGGGGGAGATGGGGGTCTGTCTAAGATTGTAGATCTTTGATTATTTAAGCTTGTGTAGAGAAATGCAAGCTGATATTCAACAAGTCCAAATCGTTTCTTTGTTTCGTTTTGTTGTTGTTGTTGTTGTTGTTTTCCTGGCTGTATCTGACTGTGAAACGCCTTAAGTGATCTCGACCATAATCCTTTGACATGTTTTGTGTTCTGAAGGAATTTTGTCAGAAATGGAAACCGGGTAAGGGAACGTATTTGTATTTGTATTTTATTATTACTCCATCCTATAGAATAATAAGTACAAGGTGTTTAAGCTACGTGTACAGAAAAAAAAGACAAAAATTAGAATGGAGAAAACCACATTATAGTAAAACTAATAATGACCCTTTAACAAGATTGACTTTATATTATAGCTTTGTTATTCATTAAAACACAAACACGCACGCACACACACAGGCACACAAGTCAATAATAGATAATAATTGTTTTTTAAGTGCCTTTTTGAACAAGATTTTCGATGATATATTGTGAACAGAAAGGGGGAGATTGTTCCTTTCTTTGACATATTCAAATAAAAGACACCAACAGGAACTCTTACACGAAAAACTAAATTATTTAAACACACAAAAAGACAACAAATAACACTAAACTACCCAGCTTCAAAAGACGCCGCCATCATCGCTGACCGCTGACCAGGAAACGTCTTTAAGTTAATCTTGTTTCACCTAATTTCTTCCCATAAAAAGGGTGTTTTTCCACTTTCTTCACTGTCTTCACGGCAGCGCTCTGCTAGGAAAACCTTGGATATAGGTTTTGACACTTACATCTTACGTAGCATGAATTAACAAAATGGTGTGCTTTGAACTTAATTTACTATAATTATATTAATAGCCTACGCCTTCTACCCCTAGGACGTTCAATTTGCAAGAAATTACGACAAAGTACCCATAGTAGTGATAGCAGCCAGTCACAGCTCAGAGGGAAACAACTTAAAACCAATACACATGTCTGTTACTGCTTGGGTTGAGGTAAAGTAGGATGGAAATGTTTTAAGGTGGCTCGACTGGATTTTTTTTGGGGGGATACCTCCCAAGTTTGAGCATTAACTACGTCGCCATGAGTAAATATATGGGAAAAAGATTACAACAACTGTATTATATAAGGATGGAAATTTCTTATGATCTGGGTTTTATTGCAATCGGAGTCGCCATGGCAACGTAACAACGCCATTACATTTTTTATTTATCTTTGTGTTTCTCTGTACCAAGAGTTTTTTTAAGAAATCGCTTAAGGGAGTTTGTGCCTGCCATAATTGCCTCAATTATGGCAAAGTTCGAACAAATTCTATGAGAGCGTTTTCGAGATATTTTGAAACGAAGTTTTAAACATCATAAAAACAGTGAAATAGCATGCTATCCACACATTAGCTAATTCTTTAAGAAAATGATAAGCTTTGGAAACGCGGCTTCATCTCATAGTGGTTGGACTCCATTGAAAACTGCGTACAAAAAAAAGAGGAGAATTGCTCCGGGCGACCTCAAGTAAGCTGCTTTATTACAGTTTTGCACATAATTTGGTCCATGCCTACAAGTTACAAGGTACAAACTCCCTTAAGCGATTTCTTAAAAAAACTCTTGGTACAGAGAAACACAAAGATAAATAAAAACGTAATGGCCTTGTTACGTTGCCATGGCGACTCCAATTGCAATAAAACCCAGATCATAAGAAATTTTCATCTTTATATAATACAGTTGTGGTAATCTTTTTCCCATATCTTCACTCATGGGGACGTAGTTGATGCTCAAACTTGGGAGGTATCCCCCTCAAAAAAATCCAGTCGAGCCACCTTAAGTCATGTAATAAAGCAAAAGAATACTTCAGTTTTTTATGTCAAGAAGTGAAGAGATCTATGTGGTAGTTTATTAGGTCCTGTTAAAACGTCATATTTAACGTGCCGAACCTACCTTAAATGAGCGGGAACAATAGATTTTCCTCATTGGCCGGCTAAATTTAACACATAAGAAAATGCGACGTTTAAACTGGGCCTAAAACAATGTACATGTAGCAATATTTGCACAAAGGACCATTTCGTTGAACTTGAAAGTTTTTAATATTGTTAATTAAGTCTAAAGCATCTTGCTTTTTTTGCTATTTTTTCATACACCTTTCTTAAGTTCTGAAGTCGAAATAAATTGACGCCTTTAATCAAATTCTATTTCAAGACATTCCTACAGTGCCTTACTGATCAGCTTGATAAGGCAAAGTTCTCCAGTATATTTGACCTTTATACACGTACTCACATTAAGTACTCACATTCTTATCTTTATTACTAAAACTGTTTTGTAAGAAACACAGTTATTTGATATGATTGTAAAGAATTGAAAAACAAGGTTTGTGACATCACATGATTTCACAAATTCTCCTTTTCGAATTTTGAGGCAGCAATCTTGAGCCCGCCGTTGCCTAGTTAATGATTAAGTTAGCAATTATTACAACGATTTCTTTTGCCAAACCATCTTTAACCAAGTTTTTTTTTAAATAAAACTAATAAAACAGACGGCTTAAAGAAGAGAAATCATACCATCGAGAAAGTGTTTGTCATTGAAATGTCAATCATGATTACATGTAACAATTGAATGATATATTAATTGCTTCCACGTAAATTTCAGAAAAGCGCTGAAATTTGGCGGGTTGATTTTTGGGCGGCTCAAAATTGTAAATATGCAAAGTGAGCGCGGACACTTTTGCCCTACCCCAGGCTAAACTCTCGATTTATGGTGTTGGAAGGGAAATTTAGCTTGTTTTAAAAAGGATATTATTTATTTTACAGCACATTAATACCAGCGAATTCCGCATTTGTCTCAAAGAGTTGTACGCTGACCAGCATGATCCTGTAAATGTATCATACGCTGTACTTGCAGGTGGGTTTGGCGGCAAAATTTAGCTTGTTTTACAAAGGATATTATTTATTTTACAGCACATTAATACAAGCGAATTCCGCGTTTGTCTCAAAGAGTTGTACGCTGACCAGCATGATCCCGTAAATGTATCATACGCTGTACTTGCAGGTGGGTTTGGCGGCAAACACCCCTCACCTCCCCCACCACCCCTTTTGCTATTACAATAGCCAGAGATATTTTAATTGACAACAAATTATATACGTTTTGTTTACAAGCCGGTGTTTTTATAGGGACATTAAGCGTTAAAGTTACCATACACTGTACGTCTGTCTATTTTTCTTTTCTTTTAGAAGTTCAACTGTGGTGCTATTTTCCAAGACTGATGGCTTATATAATTTATGCTTTATAATACATACCCTTGTTTATTGTTATTTGGTTTGTTCCTGCAGATGTATGTAAACCCGGTTGGTCTTATTTTGGTGGCATATGCTATTCAACCAGTCAAATATGTAAGAACTGGACTGAAGCCCAGAAAGCATGCCAATCATACAGTGCTAATCTCATTAGTGTACGAAACCAAGAAGAGAACGTCTATATTCAACACAGGATGAATGGCGCTAAGGGCTGGATTGGACTAAGTGATAGTGACACAGAGGGAACTTTTGTCTGGGCAGATAATCAACTCAATAACTTCACATACTGGGCTAAGAACCAACCCAACAACTTCAACAATGAAGATTGCGTTCACACTTTGGGAGTCAGACATAGCTTTATGTGGAATGATGTGAGCTGTGACACCTGCCATAACTACACCTGTTCAGAAGGTATCTAGGAGCCTTTGCAAGTTCTCGTATAAGCCTTTAGTATACGTTTTAACACCAAAGGATTACCAGAGCGTCTTGTCCTTGTAGGCTGGTAAAAAGAATGGTACGTTACATTACATGACATCGTCTTCGCATGCCAAGCAGGGACATTTTTGCTTTATTTTTACTTTACTATTTTGATTTTATAAGCTGTAGTAACATTCAAGATGACCTCTAATTTGAGTGAAAACAATCTTTACATTTCTAGAGTGATTGAATGATGATTGCCCAATCTGTCGAACGATTGGATGATCCACTGTTCTATTTACCGCTGGATTGATTAGTTAGTTGGCAGGTACATATTTTTTTGTATGTGGTTTTGTTTCTTTAAAGCAATCGATTGATAACTTTTTAATTCTTTTAAACTAAGATCTTGATGAATGTGGAGGGAATAATCACCATTGTCATCATAATGCCGTCTGTACAAACACAATCGGCTCCTATAAATGCCAGTGCTCGATAGGATATACCGGTGATGGCCTAGTGTGTGCAGGTAATAATCCATAATTTCATTTCCCTTCCAAAATATAAACTAGAAGGGCTTTTTTACCTCAATACTAGCAGAGCTGGAATATCATATTGGTGTAATATCAAAACATCATGAGCCTTCAAATTATTTATTAAATTTTTATTTCAGTATTCATTAAAAAAAATCCGAATTCAATAACTGTTTTTATTAATCAAAACACTACGGAGCTCATAACAGATGTTCTTTACAAAGCAGTTGCCATCCTTCGACTTTTCATTCTACGATTTAACGATTGATGTCAATCATTTAACAAATAGATTAGAAATTGCCGTTCGTCTGTACAGTGATAGATCAAAGATCACTTCAAAAAGTGTTAAAAACAAAGAAGTGGCAAAGTCCCAAACGCTACTTTTAGTCTCTTCTTCTTGCTTTTTTTTTCTTTATCTTACTTGTAACCAGTTTCTTCGAAAAGTTTTTTTCTCAAATTGTCAAGAACTCTTTTTGTCTCCGTTTTTCCATTTTTCTTCTTTGTAAATAGCTCCTGCTAAACTCGACGCTTTCACTTGGTTAATCCGAAATAATCTCACAAACATTTTCAAAACCGCCCGCCATGCTGAACAAAGCAAAGAAAACAAATTTCCCGTGACGTTATTCATGTATCTGTACTCTAACAGATCAAGGGCGACGACCAATCACAGCGCGCGTAGGTTTCACATCATTGTATAAAAAGTGATAGTAAACATCTTCCAAATTTTGACAACCGGCTGGTTGGTGAAGAAGAATGCGCGGGTGGGTTCAAGCCAACCAGAAAAAGAGATATTTTTAATGAATATCAATTGAAGTCGAAAGAATATCACCTTTCTCCCTTATGAAGTGGTGTTTGTAAGTTAACGTTGGAGTATGAGTTCTTATATTGTGTTCTTGTTAAAAGTTTTTCTTTCCCGGGCTCTTAAGATGTAGACGAGTGTTCTGCAGGACATCAGTGTGACAGCAGTGCGACTTGTAGTAATACAGATGGGTCTTACACATGCACCTGTGACAGTGGCTACTCAGGAGATGGACGAACCTGCTATGGTAAATAAACTACTTGATCAAATGCACAGGTTTCACAAAAAAATCTTTCACAAAAGTAGGTACACGAATTTTGGCCCTTTATTTTTTTTTTTCGTATCAGAGCTATCCATACTAAAAGTAATGATACTAAAAAGCGTTCAACTTTAATTTCCCCAGCCAGTTTTCTTACGTTAAGCTCCCAAGTTCAGCACATGCACGAACTCTTGCTCCCCTATGATACACCCGAAGCAAATCGTTTTAATTCTTAGAATACTAGAAAATGCAATTTAAACGGGAAAAAACAAATAAAAAAAAGGAAAAAAGCCACAAGAGCTTGTTTGAAAGTTTATCGAAAAAAGACATGAAAATACATGAAACTAAAATACCGTGACCAGCTACGAAAGAAGGCAAGTGTTGTTTCTTCATGATCGCGAAGCCAATCGCCGAGTCACTCGCCGATAGATAACTGCAGCCTGTTTATCCGACATGAAGAATATAAATCACAAGCAACCAGCTACAAAAACGGGCTATGCAGCCATTCACTACAGCAATCTAGGCGTTAGTATAGCGTCTTCTCTCGTTCAGCAAAAGCAGCTGGTGGCTTCAAACAACTTCATAACAAGCGACCGAGGTAAAAGTTTTTCTCCAATGTTCTCACTTTTGTAACTGCACCAAAAATCCAAATTCACAGTAATTCTCACATTATCTGCGAAGGTTTTTTAGCTGTCCTGCTGTGTAAAATCCTAGAATCCCGATGAGTTTTTCAAAGTGTTTATCGCTATAGTGTTTTGATTTTTCATTCATCCAGTCCGTTCGCGCGTTGACAGTCAGTTTTGATAGACGTGTGACTTGTGAATAGCGGAAGTCCTTTGTCTTTTTCCGGTTTGATCTAACAAAACTAAAGGTGGTGTTACACAGGACGATTCGCAACGACGATTTTAAGCGCAACACAGCTTTGCAACATTGTCGCGAAATTGTTTCAAATAGTTGCAACATCGTTCCAACATTGCGTTACATTAAGTCAGGGAGATTCATCGAGATTTTGTGGGCGTTTTTAATAAAAGAATTATTCCACTCGCGCTTGCTGGATATGAGATGATTATTGCCTACTCGGCGCGACGCGCCTTGTTGGCTAGCTACCATCTCATATCCAACGCGCTCTCGTGGAATAATTGTTAAATATGACTTGTATTCCATTCGTTTTTAAATAAGAAAACAGAATAGTTATGATAAAGAAGGGAACTCTCAATACAGGCTGATTCAATGAGCATACACTGTAATTGAAAGTATTACAAGCATATGCGTTTTATCGTCGTAATATGACAATTGGACGATGACGATATTTTACTACAACTACCAGAATCCTTCAGTTCTGACTCGTTCTGACCTCTTTTCCCCTTTTTTCTTTACTCTTTATCCTGGAACTAGTTCATTAAGAAATTGTAATTGTCTTTAATTTCAGACGTGGATGAATGCTCACTCAACACTCATGACTGCGACGCAAATGCGATTTGCACTAACACAGTAGGAGCATTTACTTGCAAGTGCGACGTAAACGCGCATTACATTGGCGACGGAAAGACTTGTACTTCCCACCGTAAGCCAACCTATTTTAATAAGATAATTAAACAAGTAGTTACCAAAGGTGCGGGTGACAACGATCGAAGGTCTAAACGCTTTTGCCCAAACGCTTTGCTTTGCGTAAGTTTCACGCGATAGGTAGTCAAGACACGCGTGATTAAATTACGAGTGATAGAGGGTCCAAACGCGCGTGATCAGACTGTGTTCCATTCATAATCTTAGTGTAAGTCCAAATGCCGCAGTAATAGAAACCTGGAGATTAGGATTTTCGGGCTCCTCTTGTCGCCCGCAACAATTTATCTGTTTATAGATCTGCTCTTTTTTAGGTTTTTATCACGGCTGGCTAGTCCCCTTTTTTATAGCTGTCAATGACGCGTCCTTTTTCGCCATAGTACTTAATTAAGAAAATGTTTGTAAAAGACAAAATCACTGCTTTGAACTTTAAAAACCGGTAAGCTAACAAGTTTTCGAAAACCACAGTTTGAATCCGTTTCATTCTTCAGGTTTGTCTATCCGAGCCCCCTTTGTGTTTTCTGTGTTATTTATACCTTTTGAGCGATTATTTTTTATGTTTCACTCAATTTAATGGGAGTTCCCATTGTTTTGTTTGATTTTTGATAATAGTTTTGTCCCTGGTTTCATAGTAAGTTCCAGTGAGTTGTGGAGAGCTTCGGCAGTCAATACGCGCGCTTTAGTGGCGTTTGCTGTTTTGTAGAGGTAGCAAAGATGCGGTGTTTGCCAATATACAGTTGTTAGATCATTGTCAGGTCTTTCTTTCTCTGTTTTTAGCACTAGTTTGGTCAAAAAACGGCAAAACCTTAAAGCAACTAAAGGACAGATTTTGGTTTTCTTTTCTTTCAGGTGGCCTCGGTAACTCAGTCATTTTATCGAATGACGTCGGCAAGATATCACAATTGAATACCTGGCTTCTTCCCCATTTGCAAAGTTCAGTCAGAAGTTACTGGAAACTGTGTTATAGAGCCACTAACCACGGTTGGAGCTCGCAGACCTTTCACAGTTATTGTGATAACAAGGGACCCACTGTAATCATTGTAAGAGTTGGAAGCTACATTTTTGGGGGTTACAACGACAATTCGTGGCAATGTAAGTCTGCTAAACTAAAACGACACTAAGAGGGGTGTTATTGTTTGAAATTATGGCCATTAAACCCCGAGTGAGTAAGGGGTGATGAGTAGGGCTGGTGCAATCTTCCCCAATACCGTGAGCAAGACACAATGACGCTCCGATTGGTTAAAAACCATGCGTTTAACCTAGAGCGAGTAAGGAAGGGTAGTGCCATCCTCCTTTCTTCTGCAACAGCTAAAATCATTCATTTTTTCAAATAATGGTTTTATAGAACTTTTTTTTCAGTAATTGATTGTTTTTATGGCCTCATCTGATTAGTGGTAAAGAGAAAGTTTTTTTAGTATATTGTTGCGCTTGTTTGCGCAACAAAAAGCGGATAACTAATTCAATGATTAACGCACACCCGGATGTGTTCTAGGTCTCATATAATTCTCGGGTAAATTCAATAAAAACTTTACAAGGGTAATTAATTATATTATATTAAATTTAAATTTAATATAACAATGTTGTAAAGCGCAACCGAATGTATTCATATAGAGGTTTGCGCTCTCTATATGTAAATTATTATTATGGCAGCAAAAACGTCTGGATGCCCAGAGTAAAAAATTAAAGCTTTGGCTGGGTGGCAAACCGTAACCAGCCGCAGCATTGACTAAAATTTGTAGTAACAATTACAAAATAGTCGTCGTCGTCGTCGTCGAAGTGAAGCTTTTGTTTCGAAACTCGAGGGGCCGATTACTTAACCTTGGACCGTGTCTAAATACCGACAAAGGAACGATAGAACGTTAAACCTTCTGACAGGTATGCTTTTATGATCATTATTTTGAAATGACCTGAAATAGACGGACTACTGCGCAACAGAGAATTAAGAGAGTTAAGAGAAAAAGAGACTACGCCAATCGACGTAAAATTCATGTTCAACAAATTACACACCCTACGGACATATTTTACCCTTTAGAGGAATACGATGAAGAAGATTTTCAATTGCGTTTTCGCCTTTTTCAATAAAGATCTTTCAACATTATACAAGGAGGGGTCTGCTGTTAACTTCGATGCAGTAAGTTCTAATTGCTTTCAGATTTTATACAACAAGTTTCAAGCAGGTTATTGGCGATTTATTTGGTGTTTCTCTATTCATTCTGCTGCATGCACGGTCATTCACAAGGTTTCAAGGGCTATCGCGAAACGAAAAGAACCTTCTTTTTGCATTCCTTAAGGACATTATGCTACCAAGAGAGCGTTTTATTAGAAAGTGTCATTGGGAGTTGCATTTCAGGTTCTCGTTTTTAACGGCGTAGGTTGCTCATTTAACTGCAATGATCAATTTCCCTTTCTTATATTTATCCACAAATCAAAATTTTGAGTCATTTCATGTACTTTTACTCTGTTTTAACTGAATTGCTCAACAAAACTCTACAAATTAATTTTAAGCAGAGAACTTCTATCATAATTCAAAAAAACGAAGTGGATATAACTCGATTTCATACCATCTAGAGACTGTACTAAAAATGACACAGCTGTTACGGAAACTTTTAGTAAATATGCACCTAAAGTGTCTTGGCACTAAAAGACATGTTGATGTTTTGCTTGGAATTTTAATGTTGTTTGTCTCTTTTCAGGGTCTTCTGGGTGGCAGTACTCGACCAACACGTTCATTTACTCGCTGAAAAACTATTACGGGTATGGATACTTTAAAAATGATGTAAGCGGCCACTATTACTGGGCCACATACAGTCACTATAACTATTTTCCAACCTTTGGTGGAGGGCATGATATCTACATTGCAGACAACGCAGGATACAATTATAACTCTTTCTTTAATTGTGGCTGCTATTCGTATACAAGTCCCCATTCCTATTGTTCCTGTAATATGTGGACTGGAAGCAGTAGCTTCTGCCCAGATGAGTTAGAGGTATTCTATGAAGTGCTTGCTTAATTCCACCGGGAATATTAATACGACCGAAAACCAACAAGCTCTTTTTTTTATTTTATGGGTGAAAAGATACTGATTGTCTTAATGCTCGCCTTTTGATAGATTATTTTCACTTTATCTTTAGAATCCTTCATAGTAAGGGTGCGTTCAATTGACTCCGTTCCGGAAAAAAGAGGAATATTGATTTTAGTGTAGAAATCCTTTGTTTAGGAATTACTTGCTCTTAGGACAACGAAGGAAAGCTGTAAAGAGCAGGTGCATGGTATGTTTTCAAGTTTATTTCCTTGTAAATTCACCATCAGTTTCATCGTGCCAACAACTCAAGTAAATTAAGGCATGGATCAACAGCCAAATTCCCGTAAAAATGAAGGTGGTGGTCTATAATATGAACTGTTTATCATGAAGCAAAACACACCAAAAAATATTACAAACCATAAACAATTATAATTCAGTGCACACAATTACTATGCAAATTAGGTCACACATGTACAGGAAAATACAAAATATAAGCCGCTACAAAACTGCGCTTGGTAACTTTGAACTATTTAGTTTATTCTCAAAATAAACGGGTTTTCTGACTAGTACCCAGTCTCTCAATACAAGTGTATCATTATAACATGCCTTTCCTTTAAATAATCTTGACATTGCCAAGCGCGGAAATGACATGCCTAACGGCCTTAAAATCATGAAACTAGTAGAAAAATTAAGGAAACAAGAAAAAGTGAGACCATTTTAGTTAAAAGCTTTTCTGGGCGTGGCGAGTCATGTGACCTCATTTTCCTCTTTGGTACAGGCCAAATAGACAAAAACTAGCAGTGTATGGGTCTCCCAAGTTTTCAACCTGCTACTGGTAATGCATTGAAAATTAGACCACCCCCTCACTTTTCGACTTAATCACTGGGGCGCCTTGAGAACACATATGCATCGGAGGGAGTAGAGATTGAACCTTTAAAAGGTAGATGCACGACAAACGCGAGCCGAAATTATGCATAGACTAAAGCAAAGAAGAAAACAAAGTAAGAATCTACAAACCTCATCGGCTGAATTTGTCTTAGTAAGCCTATTGAAAGTTACACGCTACATGTATAAAAAAACCGCAAACTGAAAGCGTCTTCAAGAGCTATATGAGGTAGTGCAGGTGCGTGGAAATACGAAAAAATTGCGAATTTGATCGCTTAACAATTCCAAATTAACGAGAGAACGAAAAGAAAATTAGTGTAGTGCATAACCTAACAAGCCTTCCTTGTATAGGCCAACAACCTCTGTGTTAAAACCCCGTTGTGTGTAATGGGCAAAATACACACCCTTCTGTTTCTTTACGATTAATTAGACCCCGTTTAGGATAGGTTCGCATTAAATTGTATATTAACCTGTTCAAGACAGAGGAAGCAAAACTCTCCAGCGGCACGTACCTGTACAGGTCAAACAAGTAAATCCCCCTCCGGGCTCCAGGCTAATTATACCTGAGTAACATTCTAATAACCCCCAAATCCCGACAAATGCGGCATATAAAGCAGTTTTCTGGAGTTTTATTCTGGAATATGGTCAGTCGAACGTACCCTAAAGTTCCGGTTTCAGGCGTTTATTTTTTGCAACTCTTTATCGTTTTCTGACTGTAATTTATATTGCTAAGTTGTAATTACATGTAATTCTATCAGGGTTGACGCATTAGGGCCTCTGTCGACAACAGGCGTTTAAGATTCTTTGAGGGCAAACCTCGGTTTTAAATTAGATATTAGACACCTTAAGATCGAGTTTTGGTCATTTTACTGCAAACTGCGGTTAACGGTTTCACGTTACCCGTCTGCCCATATTTGGGATTTAAGATTGAGAGTTTTCATTCACCCACTTACTTCTATTTTAGCTGAAAAATTGACTTCAAAATTACGTTTTTTAATTAATAGAATTCGATAATCAATAAGCAACAGTTCTAAAAAGTCGTCTTTCTTCTCAAACGTGGGATTGTGATGTTTTTGGGTGAAAAAAACCTTGCGGTAAATCACGGTAAACAGGTATGCTTTAAACGCATACCTGATGACAAGGCCCGGGTCACGTGACTTCTTGACTTTCGCGATTCGCGGGAAATGCCGAAAAAACTCAATTTTAAGGTCTCTATTGGTGTTAATTTCAGGCTACGTTTCCACACTGCTCGTAGGGGTCAAAAAATTTAAGAATACATTATAAATTTCGCTGCATATGGTTTTACTATTTGATAATCTCTCTTATTGACGAGAAAAATCCCTCTATTAGAATTTTTTGTTCCGAAAGAAAAAGTGAAATGAAAAAGAAACTTTTGATCTTTCAAAATCATTCTAACATGTTTAACTTAATAGTTCAAAAACGAACGTGAGTGTTTTGTAGGTTTCCAGACAAGAGAAAAACAGAGGCCGAGCGCGTTTATTTTTTTTAAATTTAAAGTCTATGGAAGCCAGTGAAACCTTAAGCACGCGTTTGTGAAATAACTTCTCCAACAAATAGATTGTGCGGTAATAATATATTAAAATAAATAGTATAGTTGACTAGGATTTTTGGACTTTGAAATTCTTTAAAGAAAAATGCTTGGACCTCTGGTGGCCTCAACTAAAAAAAGGAGGGCGGTCCTAAAAAGAATCGGTAACTCTTGCAGAGTCATCGTATAATCGGTTAGTTTAGTTGTATTTGTGGTACGTATTCTGTTCCAGTTTAGAGTTTTTAAAATTTTCGTCGTTTACTAGTTGTCGCGATGAAAGTTACTGGTGTTACACTTACTTCGTAATAACAATGTATTAAAAGGTTTTAATCTTAAACTGAGATGCTGTGTTACCTACTTAATAGATCAGATATGCAGATTAAGAAACAACTAACATTATGCTCTGACACACGTTTAAAATCCCTTCCAAACACGTGTGGTTTCAATTCGTTGTTCACTGGGCTTCTTGAATGTTATGGTCTCATCCACAGGACCATGATAGACAGTCCTAGCTCAGGCTATTATTAAGAAAATGAATAATTTTAAGTATTACTCTGAAAGTAATAAAAATTAGTTTGAGAAAAGCCAACGTTTCGTTGCACAACTGACTGGTTTCTATTCGTCGAAAAGAAGGGGCTGTTTTCTTGCAATAACCAGTGTGAAGTCCTAATTTAAATGTTGTTCCATGTCACTGCATCATGGATGGAATTGCATCGATTTGAGTAGTTCCTCGCTGGTATTAAATGATGAAAAAACTCTTTCAACGAGATGTTAAGAATGATGGTGATGATCGCTTTATGAATAAGATGATAATGATGATGATGGTGGTGGTGGTGGTGGTGGTAGTAGTGATGTTGATGATAATTTTGAGGTTGCTTGGCAACTTTAGGTTCCTTTTCTCTGAAAATCTGCACTTTAAGTCTAAAGGGAAACGCGACTTCTCAAGATTAAGGTATTGGGTTTCTCCTGCAGTCTGCTTAAATCTCCCAAAGAAAACTTAAAGGTTAAGTCGCCCGCTCACTTAATAAATCCTTAGTGCGAATAAATGTATAAGAAAAAATATACCTTGTGATCCAAAGACAACATTAAATCGACTTTTTCCTTCTTGATCACCAGATCAGCTTATTCGTCTTTCACTTCTTTGAACGTGCCATTTAGCTTAAGTTCCCTTCAGTCTGTTCTTTGTCAGCCGGAAATACTATCTTGCAAATGCGGGGAAATCAAATGGACAAATATCATTTGGCTCATCAAAAAGGTTAAAGAGAGTCATTACAGGCTTTGAAATGCACAACCCAGTGCGAATGTATTGACTTAAAACAAAGAGAAGGCGATAATGACTTTTCAAGTTACACAATACTCTTACGATACTCTCAATCATGGGTCATAATTCATGCAAATTGGCCGGGTACTATGAAATTTTAAGAACCCAAAAAAGCCGCTTTTCATATTACCTTTATTCCTATTTGACATTATACAAGCAAGCGTTCTGCAATTTTAACATCATTTTCAAAACATACCTTGCAGTGGCGGATCCAGACCTTTAGACAAGGGGGGGGGGGGGGGGGGGGGGG